GAGCCGTACTTGATCTGTCGGGCAAAAATTTCTTTACGGATCGCTTCTCGCAGCTCCACAATGAGCTGCAACTACAGCTGAAATTCGTTGACCTTAGTCGATCCATCCTCCTCCTGGGTGGTTGTCACATAAATTCAAGAGATCAACTTCCGCAGATAATGGAGGAGATCCAGAAAACTCGCACAAAAAATTCCTCTACTGTCTCAACATTCTGAGACATAGCATTGAACTTTGTGTACTTTGTGTATAACTTAAAGTAGATAGAGAGTCTTTTCCTCCATAGGTTTCACTCTTTTTGAAGGTAGGAAACTCTGAACTTTTTTGTAGTAGCTACGATAGTCCTCCTCCAACTTAGCCCTCGTGAGCTCAGAATGATACTGAGACTCAGCTAACCTCACCAGATCGGCAGCCCTCTTATCTTGGATGACTTGCCGTCGACCTGCAGACGACACTGGGTGATCTCAAGTCAGCAATAGTTGCCGATGACGATGTCGTTGACGATGAACGATGATCACGAATCTGAGTAATCTGAGTCACTACTGCTGTAGGCTGTGTCAGCTTATCAGTCAATGCCTCAATCTTCTCAGTAGAAGCATCAGACATTAGGGTGGCACGAATTATTTCCTTCCAATTATTTCCTTCCATTTCCTTCGGAAAGATGAAGGAAATTTAAAAAATTCTTTCGAGCAGGAAAAATAGAAAAAATAGGAAAAATAAGGAAAAATAAGGAAAAATAAGGAAAAAATTTCCGAAACGACCATAAATGGGCACAAAAATCCCAAAAAACAAGATGTCTCACACCAGGTGATGTCTGGGATATATGCCTGTGTTAGTGGTCTCGGATAGACTGAGTATAGGGAAACCTTGTTCGCCAGGATGATCAAAAATTTTTGTGGCGAGCGAGAATTCGATTCGCACTTTCACTGGAAGGCCCAGCTTGCGGTTTCGGACTGGAACTTTCAGTTATTGCATGGCACTTCGCAATGCGAAGTCCGCATCATGATCATTTTATTCGAGCAGGATATGCTGCATTCCCACAAGCACAAGACGGTGGAATATCAACGTAGCATACTTCAAAACAAACGGAGAGGTATCCCTGACGCAACATATAGGCAGTGGTTTTGGAACCGGCCGCAGGCTCACAGTATGAGGCTCTGATCTAGTCAGTAATCACCGTTACCAATAGACTGACGTTTGCTCCTCGTTTCGCATGCCATGCGCCGCATGGTAAGTCAGTGTTCTCGTCTGCGTTTCTTGCTGATACGAGCGGTCGAACCTGTGAAAACGATCGAAACTGGAAGGCTTTGTTGGTTACTAGAACTTCTAGTCTAGAAGACAATGTTGGCCGCCCCATGGACTGCCGTGACGAAAGTTTTCGACAACCCCCTTATTCGAGAAAAAATGAAACGAAGGAATGCAACAATCAAAGGATCAATCAAGTAATGCTCAACGACAGCTCTAATCACCGAGCGTTGCGTTACAAACTTACCTTTAGAAAGCGCGCTTGTTCAGCCGCTGAACTTTAGCGCACGCCCTGGTCTCCTCCAGTGTGGATATCTCCAATATCTTGTAACGCTTTCAATTTCAATCAAGCTATGAAACATGATTAGTGAGTGCAAATCATCTGCTAGTAGCCCGACCGAGTAAGACAGTGACGCTCAGGCCTGCCAAACCTGGCAGGCCAAGCGAAAAAATTTATTTTTCAATATTTTTCCGTATTTTTCCTTCATTTTTCCTTCAAATTTCAAATTTCCTTCCGAAGGAAATAATTTTTCTATTTTTCCTTCCGCGTGCCAGTGGCACGGTGCCACCCTATCAGACATTTCTCGACGAAATCCCCCAAATGTTGTAAGATTCGGGAGTCCCGAATCGGGACAGATATGAACTAAGTAGTGAGTCAAGTGCTCGAGATGAGTTGACACAACCAAGAGGGACCTTAGTATAAGTGATTAGATGAAGTAGTGAGGTTGAAGTGACAATAAGGAGCGCTAACAACTTGAACAGCAACCAACTACGACAAGCGGCGGCTGGCAGCCGCACCGATTAGCTATAGATTAAATATAGCACGCAGGTACAAATGACTGCACAAGATCCTGCTACATGCGCACAGTGGGGACACAACCCGGATCTCGACAATTTCGGGCCGGCATGGGCTCGCATCGAGTCGAGGCTGTCGAACCGAGGTGGAAGAGGGACGTTCGCGGAGAGACAAATGCTGTCAGAGCGGACGTAACGCGGCCGACCCAATCTCCCGGTTCACGTTCGCGAGTTTTGCCCATATTCTAGACACTTGGAAATTTAATCGGAACACAATTTGTGTTACTCAAATCATATCGGCGCATCTATCCTCAGCGGAGGATGTGATCTGTGATAGATCATCTATCGCTTCTCCATGTGTACAGTGTATCCCTCCTGAGAGGGTAGTGGAGGCTCCTGGGCCAGCGTGCTCGAACCTTCCGACGAATTATGCAGGTACGGCCTCAATATTTCTGCCGAACTACAGAAGGTTTTCTGACACTACATACGAGTGCATAAGCAAATGATACGATGTGGTCTAGAAGACCTGGTCTACCGCTTCCTCTTCTTCAGGGAGTCGTGTCCCTTTCTCATGCGAAGATACTGATAGCCGACCCATTGCCATACTGCCACCTCGTCGACATTCGTGGGGGTGACGTCCATCAAGCTAGAATCATATCCTCCTCATTGATCAGTTATTGCTCTATCACATAACTCTACACCCTCTTCTTTAGGAACCATGAGAATTGCACACCGACGCGATTGTGCTAGGAACGGAAGAATGAACAACGATTATGAGAAGGATCGCAATAGAAATATTTACAGTCGTCACGCAAGGGACACTTGTAGGTCATCCAAGGCATCAATCAACTGCCTTATGTCCATAATAGTCCTAGTAGGCTCAACACTATAACCGTCCTTCTTATACCCCGGCCTGGCCTTCTCAGTAATAAGCTCAGGCGTGGTTATAGGGCGATGCTTAGCATTCATCCAGATGGTCTTCAAGCCGACCTTAGTGGGACCGCATACGTCATTCAAGAAGTCATCACCGATGAACACCTAAGCAGCAACATCATCATCATCATCACTCTACCTCTATCCTAAGCCTACCGTCTCCTCCGGGGCGATCGAAGGTACGGCATTTGCCGCCTTGATCGCCTCCAAGTAGATCTCCGGCTTGTTGCAATCAGCGTCAAGAGCATTGGCAGAGAAATCGAACAGTCCCCTAAGACAACCAGCAATCTACATCACATTCCCCCTTCCCTAAGCCTCAGCGAGGCAGCCTGCCTACTCTGCCTCTGGTATCCTATCTAAATCAGTAGTGCCGTTACTGACTGCACCCAGTAAGAGCTCGGGATACCTCTGTTTTATCGCACGCAACGTCACAATAGCTCCTTCGAACCAGGCCACTTCATGACGGGCAGACAACCACACCTACATCAGTGGTTCGTGGAGCACTACTTCAAGGCGGCTACTGCTCACATCGAAAGATTCGTCACTTAGAGTTTTGGCCACGGATGCAATATCCTTATCATTCGCACTCTCCCCTTTCCGGATGAGATACTTCTTAATGATGTCCATGTACACAGACTGATAATAACATGAGGACATGACAATAGTATCGCTTCTTACCTTTCTTAGTTCACAGTAGTTCCAGTAAGGCCTGCGGCGCTCCCAATAGTCAACACTCCACTCGTTCCGCTTAGCCTCAATCAGTACCATCAAATCCTGCATACCACACCAACAACAACTCCCACATGCATGTTACTACATCCTAGCTTACATGATAGTTATTATAAGAATCAGCAATATCATCCAAACCCCATCGACGCATCATAGACTGCCATTTCCTCTCGGCCACATCCAACGTCT